TCTTTTAGTAAAGCAAATTAAAAGGACTGAACTATAGAATCCAAACATTAATCTAATTCTGTCATATATTGAGCCTAGTTTCATTTTCCACTGGGGATTAAAAGGCCCACACTTTGCAGGCTTTTCAACTGAAATTAGATTTTTAAAAATGCTGTGAAAACAAATGCTGATTTAAGGTGTTACTATACTATTGTACTTTATTCTGTGCCAATTGTTTTCCATCTGATTTGATTAATTGCCTTTTCTTGATTTGTGGTTTGCATTATGACAGTTAAAAAGCCAACTTTGTCTATTTAAGCTTTGAAACTCTTGATGCAAATTGTTTGTAAATAAATAAGGATAAATATTTCAGGAATCCACAGCAAGCAAAAGAGTCTATTATTGTTCAGTTCGCTGTCTTAGCTACTCATATATACAGTATCCTCTCCCTGGGAATGACTCATCACAGCTTTGTTAAATACTTCATGCTTAGAGAGAATATATCTTTGTTCATGCTAGAGGGTAAAATGGAATAGTTCCTATCTTCATTTTTTATTTTTGGCTTTTCAAAAACATCTGGTTGGCCATGATTGGAAACACTGCTGAATTAAATGGATTTTATTGCCTCATTCGGCAATGAAACAAACTGATGAAAAACAATGAAAAAAGAACACCAAGGGCATGATAAACTATAATTACAATATCAGTCTCAAAATTTTGTTTTTTCTTTTAAATGACTTATGCCATTTTTATTAAATGGTTCCTATAGAAATTTTGTTGTACAATGCTGCAAGAAAAGTTTCTGAACAAAAATGAATAAAATTGCAGAGCTTCTATACTTTAACTGTTTGATTAATATGTGAGCATCCTATTGAATAACAAACTATGGCTAGAAGTTAATATACTAAACCTTGGAAAGTTGCTATAACTAAGGGATATTTGTCACACTGCCCAGAATCTCATGGTAAAACAGTGCCAATGGTGAGATATATAACAGTGTCTGTATTCTCCACTCAGCACTCATGTATTTGTTTGCAACACCTTTTTTTCCAAACAGAAAGTGACGCAAATCTGCAAATGAAGACAAATGATCTTCTCTAGCACAAGCAATAAATAATGGCTAATTTTTCTGATGGAGGGGCGAAAACTCTTATTGTGCTTTATTGATGTTTAATCTTTCTTTTGAATAACTTACGCTATCTTGCCAAAATCTAAATAGGCACGTGGATTTTTTACTAGACTTAAGATTTAGTTGCAAATTTTCACATTAATCATTTCAGTACTTTAGAATGACATTCTCAGTCTCTGCTGGTATTCAGATATCAATCAACTTTCTTTTGGTAGGCATGCCATGTAGATTAAAATTAAATTAGCATTGAGAAGCTGACACAAGGTAGCCACAAGATGGGGCTAGCCAAACCATGGTTTGCTGAATATAGTGAAGTTGTTTGGGTTCGCATGTGACCATGGTGCAGAAATCATAAAAATTGGTTCATATCAGATGCATAATGTGATAACCCAACCTGTGTCTTGGTGCAGAAATAAATTATAAAGTTTCACAGAATATATGTTAACACTTTGCCCGTTTAAGGGTTCTTCTGACTCAAAATTAAGGCAAACATTAGGATTTTCTCTGACATTCCAACAGGGAAAAGGGTTCTTGTAGAAACCTGAAAAAAAGACATGACTGTTTTAAAGACGTGTAGCATTATTGCTGCCACATATTCCAGAGTATCTTTTTTGATTTTTTTTTTAAAACAAATGCTCACTAAACATGTCCAATTCCCCTTCTATGCCATGATAAGTTTTAGTGTCTAGTTGCCCGATCATCCTCATTGTACTGATTTAAATTAATGCACAGTCTGATCACTATTGTCAACCAATCTTGCAAAGCAGATATATCCTTATTAAGTAGCTGGTTTATATCCATTTGTTGTGCATTTATTTCCATGTGCAGACAATCAGTGTTCTAAACAGTATATTGGGAAAATTGGCAATCTCTTGTATATTAGTGGGAAAATACTATCTGAGTATTTCTGTAATTAATGCTCTTCTAGAAGAGTATATGTTTTAAGGTTTGAAATCAAGTTGGGGGACTTATTTAAAGATTCTCGTTTTGAGGAAAAAAATAGTAATATAAGGGGGGACCAAAAACATTCTGTAAAGTCAACCATATCTTTTATAAATGTATGTTAGGTTTTAAGACCTTGAAATGTTGCAGATTGTCGTGAAAACAGTTGTAAATATAGATTATGCTGGAGTGCATTATCAATTGTAGAGACTTAAGTAAAGCAAAGAAAAATATAAAAATAAGTTTTCACTGAACTAATTCAATAAAGCCTTGTTTTTCGAATTTAATACAATAGAAATCATTGGTCCAACAGTGATACATACATACCTCCATACAATGACTGAAATCATGTACAGTAGTACAATGCTAAACTGTACATAGCTCAGATTATGGTTAAAAGTTGTAAAACATCTTGAGTGTGTAATCGTAAGTTTTCACACATGCCAGCATTTTTTCCAAGCCTGATGAAAGGTGCAGAAAATAATATAAAGTCAGGAAGTGACTGCCTAACAGAACTCAGCATTTCTGTTTCTCAAGCTCTATGGACTTGCATGGATGAAACAAAGGTAACAGAGATTAGCCTTTTCTCATCCTGCATTTGAGAGTCCCAATCCTGACTGTGTTGCCACATTTTGGTTTAAAATAAGAATAAGTAGAAAAACATGTATTACTTCAACTAGAAATATGTGCTACTGAGAATAGAATAGAATAGAATAGAATAGAATAGAATAGAATAGAATAGAATTCCATTTTAAAAATTAACAAGTAGTAATCTATTCATTCTGAAAAAAATCACCTGCATTTTTTGATTCACATAAAAAATTCATTTACCAATTTATTAATCCTTGCAAAGTTGTTCCTGTTATCAGAATTCTTTTGTCCCTCAATTGATCTATAAATGGCTAGTGAAGGAAAAGATTTGCTTCCACTGTTTAAAAAGTAACTTTTATAAATATTAACATTACATTAGCCACAGATTACAGGGCATCTTGATTTTTATTAATTAAGAACATCAGTGGAATAGGGTGGAATATAAAATAAAATACCTTTATTGATGCTCTACATCAAATTTTAATTCTAGGTCATAAGATAAAAATTTTAAAAATAATATCTATAATCGGTGATAATTGTGAATTGCACACATTGTATTCTATAACAATTATTAATTTGTTCCAAATACCTTGCTTCTGTATATGATGAAATATTCTGGAGTATAATCTTAAAATATAACAAAACTATTTTTGCGGGTGGTCACATTAATTTTGTGTCAATTTAATTTAGTTTTTTAGCCCATTTAGAATTTTGAGAGCCTGTTATAGCAGTCCCACAGAATGATTGTCATGAGTTGGTTGTTCATAAAATGATTAGCATGGTGGACATTATTAGCCATGAAATGTGCATTTATCCAAAGCCTGATAGTTCGATTGCTATGTTTCATGATGGTGCCAACATCCAGACTACTTTTTACTTTTTCTTCTAAGCAGATGGACACAGTTTTAAACAAACACTGAACTATGGGCAGTTGCTACTTTTGTGTATAAAATGGCAATATGCCATTTTTTTTTCAGGATTACAAATATAGAAAAAAAAGTCCTTACTGCATCTTTACAGAAAAGACAGTTGAGTAAGTGACTCAAAATATTGGCTCCTTTCATTCTCCTAGACACATGATCTGAAGCAAATGCATATATATATACCCAACCACAGACACAATATGAAAGAACGCACCATGTTACAGAAGGGAAAAAACGTGTTTCTTCCAAAGCATTCTTTTTCAGTAAGAAATCTTTATTTCTTCATCTCCAAGAATTGTTCCAAAGCTAAAATGTCATAAACAATAGTATGTAACAATAATAAAGTAAAATATATTCCTTTGAAATAAAAATGAATATCATAAAACTGTTTACATAGGTGTAGTACTTGTTCATGGGGCATATCAGAGACCAAGGATCAGTCTTTAGCTTAGCATGAGATATAAATGCAGGCAATAATTACAATAGAGTCAAAATATTGTCATGAACCTAGCAATGAATTTTATCTCCCAGGAGTATAGTATGCACCCATGAAAAAAAAAAAAGAATTAAATTCTTCATTTTTCAGAAGTATTGTTTAGTTGACAGCAGTCTAGATTGATCTGAATGCAGAAAAAAGAAGAAATTATTTACAAAAGCAAATATTGTGGTTATATTTATACATTCTATACATACATATATCTCTATATATGAGGGGGAGAGAGAGAGATACCGATACAGATACTCATATATATGTTGTTGATAATTTTGCTGGAGTGCTAAGAGAAGCTATGTAGGGAGGCTTTCTCTCTAAAATTTGGAAATAGCAGAGGTAGTATAAAACAAACCAAAGTAAAGAAAGGAATCTCATGCCTCCATAAAAGTAGTGCATATGTCCTGTCTGTTGAAGAGAATAGGCTAAAAGATTTTGTGTACTTGATGGCATAGTAATTGCTTCAAGAGAGGATAGGAATCTGCTTGTATTTGTATCTATAATGCCTTTTCTTGCTGCAGTAAGTGACCATTCAGGGCCTTAACTTCCAATGTCTTCTCTTGTGAGAAAACTGTCCCCCCGTCCGTCCCCCCCACAAATCTTATCCTTGGATTGGTATTGCTCCACATCAATGAGATGGCATGCCTGTGCATATTGGCTGTGCTTTTTGTGTGTTTTATTTTCGTAATCCTTATCAGGGCTTCCTATAGTGCATTCTATTTCTATTATTTTAGAATAATAGAACTCGAAGATCCTAATAAAATGAAAACTATTTTCTATAATTATTTTTTTAATTGGGGTGGTAATGGCAGTAATTACCTTTTCATATACATTCCAGAGATAATATTCCCCCTTACCCACAAACAGTTTCCTGTTGATACATTAAACAAGCATTTCAATCACATGAACACCGATGGATCTTTTCTTGTTTCTTCTTTGTATACAGAGAGTTTGGATGGCGAGATCCGGAACTTCCAGAAGTTATTCAGATGTTACAGCATCAGTTCCCCTCTGTACAATCTAATGCTGCTGCTTATTTACAGCATTTATGCTTTGGCGACAATAAGATAAAAGCTGAGGTAAGAAAATCATTTAATAGGAGAGAGTATATCTCTGTGAGTGTTTGTGTGTGTGTCCGCATCTTGATGTTGCAATTCTGAAATGGCTTCATCAGACCAGTATAAAGTACTTCTGAATAGTAACTTCGTTTGAACTTAGCTGAAGACCTGACGATTTGGGGGCTGGCTTCATGGATTGGGAAGAATAAAGCTAATTGCCCCTTTTATTGTAAAGGTATGTGGAACTTTCAGTGCTGTCTGTGTTATGAAAAATGTGTTCATCAATTTTGATACCACTTTTTGCTTATTTTTTCCTTACAGCTATGTCTTGATGGGAGGTGAAATACAATTTCATCTTGTTTAGTCAGATTAAACAGGTTCTCTAAAATACCACTTTTCAAAACCTTCTCAGTACAAAATCAAAGTATCATTACTTTATATTAGCCTGTCTTAAGCATTCTGGCTTAACAAAAAAAAAAAGCAGGGTCCTCTGGTTTTTATGGAGTATGATAGTTACCTGATCCAGAGGCTTTTGTCTTGAGTTGGTCTTAAAAACAAGTCAAAGACTTCTATCATTTCTTCCTTTCAGAAATACGTGAGGGTACGTAGCATTATATCTCTTTCTACAAGGGATTGTTCCAAGAATAGTTGACTTATTTAGTTCACATAAGGTATTGGGAGCTAAGGATAAATCATATTGATGGATTTGCTTATGACAATTTCACCAAATATTGTACAGGTAGTCCTTGCTTATTGACCATTCAGTCAGTGACCATTCAAATTTACATTGACTCTGAAAAACAAGACTTAAAAATGGTCCAAAATGGTCCTCAAAGTTGCAGTCATCGCAGAATTCCTGTGCTCATATGGTCATGTATTTGGCACTAGGCAAGTGGCTCACATTTATGACAGTCGCAGTATCCTGCAGTCATGTATGTGAACTCCGTATGCAACTTCATAGGCAGCTTCCGACAAGCAAAATCAATGAGAAAACCAGCAGGAAATCACAAGCCACAGTCATGATATGATTATCGACCTGTGGTAATTTGCTTAACTGTATCCAGAACTAACAGAAACTGCCACTGTAATTTCGTGCTTAATGACTGTGCTGCTTAGTGATGGAGTTGTGAGTCCCTATTGCAGCTGGTAAATGCGTTTATGCGGTCAGTAAATGGGGACACCTGTATTTGTAATTTTGTTTTGAAAAGATTTTGCATTTATTATTCTCTCATGTATAGTTTCCCAATATGTTTTCATTCTCGCAATCAGTTTCTACTTAATCTTTCATTAAGATGATTATTCATGTCTTGATTTTTCTTGGAAAAGAAGCTAATAGGTAATAGTTTCTTTTAAATGTACATTGGCAGGTCTTTTCCATTGACATCAAACTGTTCAATCTTAGGCAGTTTCTGTAAGTTGTTCCTTTGTCATTAACTTCAGGAAGTCCTTTAGGAGCCTTATTGATTGAACAGTTGATCAGTCTATTCTGCACATTACCTTTTCTGATTAGGTCTTATAGATTGCTCTTCTTGCTAGAGCTGCTATAGTATGAAGCTTATTTTTCCATATTCTGAGCAAACAAGATTTAAGCTATGAAATGAGAGCTTGTTTCAAGTGGCATACTTCCATTTCAGACCTCAAGGAATCCTGGAGTACTTAATTTGAATCATAGAATAAAAAGGATCTTAGAAATCATCTCATCCAATTGCCTGTCCAGGGCCCTATTATAGCATCTCTGACAGATGGCCATCTAACCTCTCTTTACACACCCTCCAGCAAAGCAATCCACCTCTTCCTGAGGCAATCTATTATATTGTTAAACAGCCCTCATCAGTATGAAATTCTTCCTAATGTCCAAAGTGCTTTCTTATAATTTAAACTCAATGTTTCCTGGAACAACACTAAACAGAAATGCTTACTATCTCTTACATGACAGCTCTTTAAGGTACTTTAAGACAGCTGTCATGTTTCCCAGCAATCTTCTGTTGTCAGGCTAAACCAGGGGTCAGCAACCCGCGGCTCCGGAGCCATAAGCGACTCTTTGGGCCCCCTGCTGCAGCTCCCTGTCCTATCACTGGTTGGCCCCGCCCCTCATTTCTTTTTGGACTCTAGCCCCAAGCGGCAGGAAGCGAAGGCTGCCTTACGCGCAAATGTGGCTTGAAGGCAGGTACAGGGCAGCTTAGTTCCGGCACTCTCCTCCCCTCCTCCTCCTTTTGTGACCCCCTGGCCAGCTGTGACTGAGCTAGGAGCGTGTGCATGCCCAGGAAGACCCTCCTCAAGTGAGCACCAAAGCTCAGGAACGGCACGCGCGGGACGGGCAGCAGCTCACTTAAGGAGAGTCTCCCCGTGCATGCGCATGCTCCCAGCTCAGCCACAGCTGGCCAGGGGTTTATGAGAAGAGGGGAAGGAGGGTCGCCGGAGTGTGCAGGAGCGAAGCGGCCCTGTACCTGCCTTCACGCCACATTTGCACGTAAGGCAGCCTTTGCTTCCTGCCGCTTCAGGCTGGAGTCCAAAAAAGAAATAAGAGGTTCGGGGCCAACCAGTGATGGGACAGGAATGGAAACTCCTCACTTTGAAATGGCAATAGAAATCCCCAAGGTAATTACTATTTATTTTGTATAAGAGAGAGAGTAACATATTGCTTTGCCAATTAACATGACTTCCTAATATGCAACTATTACACATCCACATGAACTTTTCAATTGCCTGAACACAGTTAAAGTTACTCCCTCAGGAAAGACACATGCGTGTTCTCTCTCTCTCCCTCTGTGCTTGGCCAAAGAGCTGCCAGGGGTGAGCGATGACACGGCAAGGTGATGACTGGAGCATTAGTACAGGAGAGAAGCCACGTCCTGTTAAGACCTTCCTTAAGCGAGCGGCCACCCACCCCACATGCACCTCTGCTGCACTTTGCTCCCAACCAGGGAGTTACGAGCAGAGGGGGGAAGGAGGAGGACAGTCACCCGAAGGGAGGGGAGAGAGAGAGACACACACACACATACACACATACAGAGAGAGAGAGAGAGAGAGAGACATAGAGACACACACAGAGTGGGGGTGAGAGAGAGACATAGACACATACAGAGTGATACATAGAGAGCAGGTGAGAGAAGGGAAGAGAGGGGGAGAGAGAGATACAGAGGGAGAGAGACACAGGGGTGACAGAGGGGAAGATAGGGAGAGGGACAGACACAAAGATACAGAAAGAGGGGGGAGATGGGGAGAAGGGGAGAAAGACATAGAGAATATTTTTGTGGCTGGGTGGGACTGAGTGACTGGGTGGGAGTGACTGAGTGGGAGTGAGTGACATCGAGTTGGCCATGCCCACCCAAGTTTTGTGGCTCCCGGTGTGTTTTTTTTCTGTAGGAAACAGGTCCAAGTGGCTCTTCGAGTGTTTAAGGTTGCCAACCCCTGGGCTAAACATAGCCAACAATTTCTAATGTTCTTTGTATTTCTGTTATAATGATAGCTGCTCTCCTCTGGACATAGTCTAGTTTTCCAGTGTATTTCCTAAGCATAGTGTCCAGAACTGGATGAAATATTACCGGTGTCTAACCAGTACAGAATAGAGAGGAAAGATTACTTCTCTTGATCTTTACACCACACCTCTGTTAATGCAGTTTAGAATTGCATTTGCTTTTTTTTTTTTTTTCAAGTGGTTCACGATGTTGGCTAATGTTCAGCATGTGAACCATCAAAATATCCTGAAAGTTTTCATGCACATTTTTACCCAGTACATGGTGTCCTCGGTCATATCTTTTCTTTTTTCTTTTTCCTATTTGAAGAACTTTCCTTTTCTTTCTGTGAAGATTCATCTGTTTGGTTTCTGTTCATTACTCCAGCTTGCCAAGATCTTCCTGAACCTTGATATTGTCCTATAACATGTTTGCTACAATTTATCTTTTTGTTATCCACCGATCTTACAAACTTATTTTGTAACCCTTTATCCAAGTCACTTATAAATATTTGAATAGTACAGGATTTAGAACAGAGTATTGTGGTACGTTATTTAATTACTCCTACCATCTGGATGTGGAGCCATTTACATATGCTTGTTGGGTACAATTGTTTAGCTAGCATAGTATGCATATAATAGTAGCACAGACCCACTCATATATTACCATCTTCTCAACTAGGATCTCAACTTTGCTGGTCAAGATTTACTTTGTCTACCACATTCCTGTGATCAACTAAACCAGTCACTCTAACAAAAGAGAAAATCAGATTGATTTAGGAATCTTTTACTCCAGATCTAGCTCTCACATTAGCTAACTGCAGCTGCTCCAGGCATAAACCTTAAAAGACAGTGAATGACAGCAAGATTTTGCTGAAAAATAAAATTTGTTGCCCTGCCATCTATGTTGCTGCAGTCATATATGATAAAAATATGCGGTTTCATTACGAATTCTAAAATAAAATTCTAATACCAGTTCAGTTCAGTTCTGAATATGAAATGAAAGGAAGAAGGGTTGTCATTAATTGTGGGAACAAAATATTTGAGGCAGCCTGCTTTAGCCTCACTTCAGCTTATACCTTTTTTGTTTTAACAGTATTTCCTCACTTATTAAACACTTAACTCTACTGAGCTCCTTTGTATAATTTGCAGAAAGTGCCTGCTCCAGAATCACAATTAGAGATACAAGTAGGCCTTGTTTACTGATTGCTCATTATGCAACCGTTCAAAGTTACAGTGGTGCTGAAAAACTAACTTTATGGTCAATTTATGCCATTTACTAATTTCACAGCATCCTGTATGTACTTGTCATTCTGTGCCTAACCTATTCACAAAAATCTCTCTTTGCTTTTATTGATTTCATTAGGAAGGCATTTAATTTTTCTTTTCCAAATTTATATGGATGAAATAGCAATTATATACCATTTCACAGTGCTTTAGAGTCCTCTCTAAGCATTTTATAGATTCAGCATATTGACCCCAACAATCTGGGTCCTCATTTTACCGACCTCAGTGGGGTGGAAGGCTAACTCAACCTTGAGTCAGTGAGAATGGAACTGCTGGCAAT